CCCCAAAACCCCAAAACCCCAAAACCCCAAAACCCCAATAAAGTGATTTGAGTTGAAATCTACTTATTCATCAGATCTTGGTTGTTGTTTTATCAAATTATTCGTTTGGCGAGGATTTCTGTGCCTCTTCCTCCGAGCAAATCCTGATGGAGCAGCCTCATTGCTCAGGTATTGCTCGCGGTTGGATTGGGCAACATTGTCAGCCATGTCTTCCATATTTCCAGAAATCTCAAGTGGACCTCCTGCATAAAGCCTTGAAGACAGGACTGGGTTCTTGCTTGATATGTCACCTATAAGATAAGCCAAGGATTATGCCAATGGGCGTACCGACGGGCTTGGATTCATCTATTTTCTTATTTTCAGCTAGTTTTCTCTGCTTTTTCACATAATTCTGAATTCTTAGGACTAAAAGTTATTCAGAGGTTTACTCTTAATCATAATGAGAGTTATTTCTTTACTTATGAGAAGATTGCAGCAGAAACTGCAGCTGTCTCATTGGTTTGCTATCAGAATACTCAGTATGATCAGGTATAGAGGATAGGATATGGCCAGAACAAAGCAAATTGATAATACTCAATACCCGATTGATCTAAAAAGCGCGTTCATGTTGACTTTTTGTATACCAAGCGTACAAGTGTAGAGAGTGAATAGCACTAAGATAGTGATAAATAATATGGCTAACACCATTCGGATCTTAGTATATCGTGTTTTCTCCTCAAAGAATTCTGCTTCAAGGATTATTGCAAGATCAGGGCTTTGCTCGTTATCTTCTTTCTCGAGTTGATTAGTTACATCAATTATTTCCTTATTTCTAGTTCCTTTGTTGTTGAGCCCAAGAACATTTTGAAACTGTCTTCCAGTAGAGATATCATCTCTATGAGTTGACCCTGGATTAGTCATCACACGATCTGCATTTTGAGCCATTTCATCATCAAAATCCTCCTCAAATCTGACTTCCTTTTTCCCCTCAAAATCTGCAGGTGAAACTTTAGATTCTTCCTTAAGTTCAGGTTCTAAAATATAAATCTTAACTTACTTTGACCAATTGAGAAATTTTTAGAGGGGTCTTCATTGAGCTCTGCTGTTCCGTCTTCACGAGGAATTTTGATCAGAAGATTCTTCAAGACTTCAAACACTAATAAGAAAGTTAAACTGTATATAAGCGTGTAAGGGACAAAGCCCATCTTTGACCTGAACTCTTTGAAAACTCCTTCAGGGTCTTTAGAATGATTCTCTTTAAAATATTGAACTAGCAGAGTTCCTACAAAGAAAGGAATGATCAGTGCAATAACGAATAAACTCAGTGATTTCTTAGCTGAAATTACAGTATTCTGCATCCAAAAACTCAAGGGATGAAGGCTCTTGACCAAAACAGCAAATACTCCTATACTGGTATTCATCTTATGCACAATCATCGGCTGAAGTTTCTTCAATTTTGTCTGCTTTGTTTGGACTGAGATGCATATTAAACCTCACATGTAGATAGTGAGGATTCCAAAGATAAATATGATGAAGAAAAAGATCTTGAGAGCCACTACATTTACCTCATTCTCAGTCACGGCAATAAGTCCTGACCGATCACAGGTGCATGTAAAATGTGTCTGATTAGTCTTACTCTGACAATACTCCTTACTGAAATAATTATTACTGATTGAATGAGCATTCTTCCCTTTGCTATTCAGCACGAATGCATCAATGTAAGAGTCAATTCCTTCTGAGCTAACATACATCAGACAATCAAATCTCTTTGATTGCCTATTTTCTCTGTTGACTCCAAGTTCAGATAGTGGAATATCAGATGTGAAATTCTGTAAAAATAACTTGCTCTCCATTGCACCCTTGAACGTTCCAGTAGTTATGAGAAAATGCAGTTTGCCAAGACCTTCGCCACCAGAATCAATCTCATACTGTTTAAAGTCTGTATCTTTCATAATATTTTTAATAATTCTGATGAAAATATGGACTTTCTCAGCTTAAAAAATTAATCAAAAGCTCACTGATATTTTCAAGTTTCTTATTTTGCACATTTGCTCCAAAACTGTAGTGATGTGAGGAATTTTGGTGCTGAAACTGGATCTGCTTGGGTACGCAGAACTTGCAATCTAAAGTAAACCTTAGAGAATACTCTGAGGCTGGATGGTAGGAATGAGACTTGCATATGCTACTTCGAGTATTGTCATAATCGATGTGTTGTAAATATCTCCAAACACTAAAGAGTTTACTACGATCTTACTCTTAGTCTTGTAAGTTAGATCTGCTCTTGACATTAGCCTTTCATTCAGACTCAATCCAGAGAAAGTAAAGCTGAATATATCTGCTACTATCTTTGAGTGGTCCCTAAAGTGATATGCACTTTTGTGCATGGTTTCGAAAATTCTAAATACTGAGGAGGTCAGCTGTACCTATGCAAGGACTCAGACACTTCAAGATAAGAAATATCAATATCTTCCATAATCAGTCCGATAACTGGTGAGGTATAAATGACTTGGATGTAATGTAATATATTTTCCAAATGTTTGTCCTAAAGGATCAGACTTATGCCTACTTCTACAAACTGCTTCTGATGGGAGTTGATGAAATCTTCCGAAAGCAAGTGTCTTAGTAAGAAACTAAGATCCTTTAATAGTTTGTTCAGACTTTTCACTGCAATATTTTTGTCTTCATATTGAACTGCTACTTCTTTAAGCAAACAGAAATCTATAAGGATTAGAATATTTCTTACCTATTTTGGTACAGAAAAATAGAGGCAAATGTTTATAGATCAACTCTGGATTTGCTACAAAAGTTTTGATTGCCAATCTTAGAGCATTAATTTTAGTATTAGCATCTCCTTGGAAATAAATATCTCCGTTGAGCAAGTACTTAATGATTTCCTGTATTCCTTTCTCAGTGTCAGGATCTGTTAATTCTTCAGAAATATTTTGGGATATTCTCAAACAATCATTGGTCTGGAGTTTGCAGATCTCTGAGTGAATTTGTTTCGAGTCATGCTTAAGCACAGTTTTCTTCAATATTCTTGAATAAGACATTTCTTTGAGAACCTATAAATTAGCTAATGCATCCTACTAAGCCATCCTCAGTGTAGATATTATACACAAGAGCAGTTTGGTCATCGATCACACTCTCACAATTCTGAATTTCAATATTCATCACTGTATAAAGCAGCCTTTGCTCAATAACGGTGACCTTCAATGAGGGCTCTAAGACACCTTTTATATCTGGAGGCTTGAAGTCTACATCCCAAAAGGCTTGTATCTGCTCGTTTTCACCAAAAAGGAACTTTTTGGTATCCTTTTCATACGATTTCAAGTTTACATAAACCCTATCAACTTTGAGGCTCCCAAGATTCGTCTTGGATAGGGAGATCTCCTGTGAACTCTGAAGTGGGATTTCAATTCTGCTTCCGTTCTTAGTCAACAGAGTCCAGATGATATTTTCTAGAGTTATGGGCTGACCTTACCAAACAGGATCTTGCTGTCGAAGGCATAATTGACTGAAAGACTTAGGAAGATATTCTCAGTTCCTCTAGACTGCTCGATAATTTCTGTATGATGAGTGTGGGGAGTTACCTATCCTTGGGATACCTTCAAAGTCAAGCATCTTTACCCAAAAGTCCTTGCTCATTTTCTTTGATTTTCCAGAAGCAACAGCTGTGAAGGGATAATATTTTCCAAATGAAAGACCCCAACTAAGCAGTGAGGATGAGGATAAGCTCATATAATACGGATGTGATCCTGAAAGGGCTCTGTTCCTACAGTCACTTCTTGGTATCTCTTCTGGGCATTTCCAGGAGAACATGAAAGGGAGGTAGTAGTGGAGTCCTTCTAAGTCTGGGTCATAAGTATCACTTGCATCAATAGCTATATGGTCATTCTTGCCATAAACTGTGTTAGCTCCCTTCAGTATTATATTTATTGGAGAAGGAGATATTATGAACTCTATTTCATCACTAAGCTCTGTTTGATACACAGGGCTCACAAAATTTCCAATCGTTTCCTTGAAAGAAATTCTCATCTTAATTCTCAAAATTATTTTTTCATCAATCGGCAGGTTTTTCAAATTGTCTGTGTCAAGAGGAATGAAAATATCATCGATCTCACCAACCTTCCCAAAGCCAAGATCTTCCTTGCTAGTTCCGTTTAAGAAGGTATACTCGATAAATCTTGGGTGATTCTACAAATGAATACAAATATTACATGGTACAGTATCTTCTGATTGCAGTTATTTTCATCAATGAACACATCAATCTTTTGATTCCTTACAAGCTCTTTGTCACGCTATATCATTGTTGAAAAATATACCATTAAAGTGCTTTTCTTATTTAAAATCAAATTTTTGTCTCTAAAGAGATCATTTATGGTAATCTTTATGCACAGTTCTCTGCATTCGTAGTTGTCTACTTCAAAGAACCCAGGGCTACAGACTCATTGGCCCTTATCATTAAAGGTTTTGCCTCCTTCTCACTCACATTTTCCATTGATTGCCTCATTATGGAATCCAGATTTCTTATTTCAGAGAATTCAGTAATCAGGATATTCTTCACAAGTTTTGCATTTTGGATCTCATGGGAAGCACCTTCCAGAGTTTCTATTGTAATAATGTCCACTCTCAAATCACTTTCACTCGCCTTTTATGTTCTGGAGTTGTGATGGGTTTATACATTCTTGTCAGCTCTTTGGACCATCTCAAATATGGCAGTGTTTCCCTCATGGCTTGCATTTCTTAGTAGTTTGATCAAAATAATTTGAAATTTTTGTGCAAACTCATCCGTTCAGGTCGCTGGTAATCTTCAATTCATCATTTAAGCACTCTGTTCATGTCTGATTGTCGGATCAGTGCTTTCAATTCTGTGGGCAGCTTTCGCAAGTTCTTGTATTTACATTGAAAAATTTTCCTTCGATACAATTACAAGTTGACTCTTTTCCAGAAGCTCCAGTATTTTGGAATAGGATTAACGAGGTGCTTGAGCAAGAAGTGCAATTGGTAATGGATCCTTCTCATTCTCGTCACTCAGGGCTACATTTCACGCACTGGTTATTTAAGAATACATGCCCATATTGTCCTCATTTACAAGAGCCACGATGGAGAGATAATTCAGGATAACACTGGGTGCAGCTTGAAGCATTGCTACATTGAGAGCAACCTTCTGATCAAGGAAGTCATTCAGAACTGCTATGGGCTAAAAATAAGGATAGTTCCTTTACCTAAATAAAAGCCAGTGTCTCATTCTCTACAAATCGCTTTTAATCCCTCTTTATCAATATCTAAATGTTATTAATTTTCAAAATTCCAAAGGCAAAATCCAATTAGGATACCTTTATATTCCTTTCAGTTCTCTATCATAGCCCTGAAGAGACTCCAGAGACTGAGAAAACATAGAATGATAGGGAAGATTTTGGGCCGCCCTATTTCTCGATTTGATAACATTAATTATATATTTCATTTTGGCATAAAAAATTAGGGGTTTTGGGGTTTTGGGGTTTTGGGGTTTTGGGG